ATTCGGCAATGTTCACTTTTATTAACCGAGTTCTAGGTCCGTACTGTAAGTTACAGACTGAGTTTTTTCATCTTCGATTTGTAGCCCAAGCGCAAAGCGTGCGGGCCAAAAATCGAAAAGGGAAAAACGGGGATCCGTAACACACAGTACGGATCGAGAATACGAGGTTGGCAAGATATTTATTATATTTCTACTGTGTGCCTGACGGGTTCGGGAACGATTTCTATTCAGAACTGCTTCAAATTTCTGACGCACGTCGAAAGCTAAACGAGTTAATTTGAAATTGTTGTTAAGTCCACTGTTACGATATATTTGCTTAAAACTTTTATAAGTAAACGGAACGGTCCCTAAATTTAAGTATAAGAACTTAAATAGCTCTAACTAAATGACCGAAAGCAGTTTCTTGAAGAAAGTCCACACTTCAGCAACATTTTTGCAAAATTTTAACGATTTTCGAGCCAAACTTGAACCATGAAAAACTGACATCCTGACGCTTTTTCAAAATCCATATTGCAATCCGTCTCCATCCTCGCCATCGTTAGTCATCCTCACTTCCTAATGGATTTTAATCGTTTGTCGAGTACTGCTCTACAAAATAAAACCAATATTGATCAGCTTCCAATGATCGATACATGTTTTTGAGATTTCCAAAATCATTCTAAAAATGGTGTCAGTGTCCCTTTAATACACAATTTAAAGTAAATGAAAGTTTAAACTTTTACTTGCTATCAATGTTAAGAACACTTGGCGATAAATCGCGAAAAATTTTGACAACAAAAACAGCTTTAAATTTCAGCGGGCCATACGGTAGAATACGGCCCGCTAAATTGACCAATCACAGCGCGCGTAGTAACTGAATGTCAGAAGTAAGGGAGAAATAAAACATGTCAGGAACTGACGGCATTCTAAGCCATGACCGCTTATAGGCGGGCGCTTTAACCACTGAACTGCACAGAAACTCATGGTGAGCTAGCACATTTGATAGGTTTGTATATGACACATGTCAGCTGTATACCGCTAAGATCAACATGTTTGTGATAGTGACAAATGCTGTGCTCTTACCATATATTGTTACGGTAATCTAAACTCTATTCCTGTTGCAGCGGGAATGAAGACGACGACTTGATTGTTTCCTCTCTTGTCATGTCNTCTCTTGTCATGTCCTGTTTTCTTGAGCTTGATGAAAAACCTGTCTATGTCCTTTCACCTCCTGCTCTTTTGACCTTCAAAACATTGGTAAGTGCTTTTGATTAATAAAAAAAGCAATGGTCCTAGGAAATCTACGTGGTTTGGTGAGAACCTGTAACCAAGCGCAGAGCTGTTTCATCCTGATTACGAAGAATGCTCATAACTAAAAAAAGAAAACTTTTTTTCATTCTTTATTCTAGTCAGCTCAGGAACCCGAGAGACAGTGCTCATATTGGAGTCTCGAAGAAAGGTATAACCATTATTTTCTTTTGAAAGTTTCCTCAAGTTCCAATATCCATCTCCACCCATTCACGCTCCTCCCAATACCCACATATAGTGACTCTAGTTTCTCATAGAAAAACCAAGCCAATTAATGCACTTCTACAGCTGAATAGTGAAACAATGTCAAATCTGATCACATTTCGAAAACCAAACTTCCATAGGCATCTAGAAATAAGTATCTCTGGTCTGAACATTGGTAGATTACAGGTTATCAATTTGACACAGTTTGTCATCAGAGGCTGGCGATCAACGAACTACTGCTATTTTATTTCATACTGCTTTTGATATCTTACAGTCGAAGCGAAGTCTTAAGAATAAAAAGAAATGTCTGCTCGCCATGTTCACTGCTCGGGCCAGCTGTTCAAAGGGTGGATAGCTTTATTCAAGGAATAAAATGCTTTCCAGTGGATAAGTGTTGATTATTTATTGGATCGGTATAACTGTACTTTTAAATAAAGACAAATAGTTCTTTTAAGAAGGCATTTTAATTTCTAGTGTCTGGTTAACTGATGGTGTCCAA